TCTGGAGCTGGCGTTAGAGCACGGCCAGCTGCCATTGCTTTGACTCCTCATGCGGGACGAGCGTTGGATTGTTTGCTGCGGGCAGTAAAGCCCCTTCGGTTGCAGATTTCAGAAGAATGCGGGCCTGACTGTGCAGGTGCGGTCCCCAGACGCACCTGGATCGCCCCTCATCCCCGCAGCTTCACGAGCACTTCGCCAGGGACCCCCAGGTAGCCCCTGTCTCAAAATTACAGCGAAGACCTGCTTTTAATCAGAGGTTAATTTGTGCTAGCTTTCATTACTTGTACTAATTTCAAAGGCACTAGTTAGAATAATCTTTATTTTTGTTTTTATTTAGAGTTACAGTTGTTTACACTTTATCACAGAATAGTCTCCGTTTCTCTCTTTTACATACATGTTTTGAAGCATTTGCAAGAAATTTCCTAACTTGCCTCTGATGCAGTAGGCTGTAAATTATTAGTGAGGATGTTGAATTTGTTTGCTATAAAAATAACACACTACCTAATTTTGGCCTAGTGCCGTGTTGAGTTTACCTGGGTTACAGAATTTCTAGCATAAGGGAACTTTTCCCAGTAGTTGCTGATTTATAAACTGTTACAAAGAAGCTTTCCCCTGGTTTGGCTCCCAGAGCTCTGAGCCTCCCATCTGTGCTGCTCCCTCAAAGGTCTCTTGTCTGTTCGCTCTCTTTGCTCCCGGCTTTCTTGCTGGCCTGGCTGATGGCCTGGCGTTTTCTACACCTCTGTGGTGTGTCTGTCCTATATGCCTAGGAGCAGAGCAGGCCCCCTCTGACCAGGCTTGAGTGTAGACGGTGTTCCTAGCGCGTCTTTCCTTCTGTTTTAACTACATCACATCGAAGTACAAGTATCTCCCACGTGCCTACATCCAGGCATGCAGGTCTTGTGTGTGTGTATAGATATAAAATTGAGATCAAAGGTTCGTGAAGTACCATTTATCCTCTTTAGATGGGAGGTACTCCATTTTCTTTGCTGTTCCATCAAATAGAAAATGGCTGTCTAGTCCCATTAAGTTGGTTTCATAACCTACTAAAAGATCTGCCATTTTTAAAAATATAATAGTTTATTTCAGCTTATAGAGATTCATATTAGATTTTCCAATTTGTAAGCATACAGGTATTTACTGCTAACAGTTAAGTGTCTGGTGCCCCTGAACATGAGTTTTGGTTGTAGCCTGGCAATTCCAAGATTTACTTTGCTAGAAATTACTATTCAGTTCATTAAAATAGCAGTCTATTAAAGTAACATCTGTTTCTTCTTTAAACATTAAATTCAGATTGCAAATCCTATTTTCAGTGTATAAGTCTTTCAAAATTTCATCATTCTTAAGGGGCATTTGAATAACATTTGATTGCATTTACAAAATGCTAATTAAATATCTTCAAACATTTTAAAACTTCTTTCATAAATGTACTCAATTTCCTTCTTAATTCAATTGTCCGACAAAGGACTCTTATAAAGCTAATAAATTTATAGACGTAATCAACCTAAATTTTATTTAGTTTGAAATCAAATGAGTAATTTTGTATTTCCTTTGGAGACACATAGCAAGTTTTTAAAAGTTCACTAAATAGCCACTGGAGATTAT